CCCTCTTCCTCTTGGTGGGCGTCTTTTGCATTTGCTGGATCCCGCTGCATGTCATTTACTGTGTCCAGCTATTGTGCCCCGACTGCCAGCGCTATGAGTCACTGAACCGCCTGGCTGTGTTGCTCTCCCACCTGAATTCCTTGGCCAACCCGCTAGTTTATGCCCTGAGGAAGAAAGACTTTGGACTAGCCCTCCGATCTGTATTCCTCCACCGTGTTCTGCACTGGCCCAGGCTGAAGGCCTGCTTTTGTCCCAGCCCCAAAGTCCATCCCCAAGCCTGAAGGTGGACAGAGAGCCACTCCTTCTAATAGCAGACTAAGGTAGTGAGTGCCGACAACAACAGAGCCAAAAACAGGTCCACTGAGGGTGGGTTCATGTTACCCTTTGCACAGGTGTTCCCACCTTGGCTACAGACAAATTGGGAATGGCTTCAAGGACTTACAGCATGCCTGGATAGCTAAGTCGGTTAGAGTGTGGTGCTGATAATGCCAAGGTTGCAGGTTTGATCCCCGTATGGGACAGACAAGTACAGACAAGTACCTATTCCTACATTGCAGGGGGATGGACTAGAGGATTCACAGAGTCCCTTCCAACTCTACAATTCTATGACTCCAGTTGGTGTGAAGCTGGTTTGAGAAACAACGCAGCCAACAGCAGCCTTTTATAACGAAGTACAGTCCCAGTGGTCATTTCTCCTCTGGTCACTGCTATGGGTACACGATTTGACTGCAAAACACCATGGTGCATCGGCAGCAGCACAACTGGATGCCTTCATCTGCCCCAGCTGCAACAAAACATGTCACTCCTGCATTGGCCTCTACAGCCAGAGTAGGCACTGCAAACGTCAAAGAGTTTGACCTCACCCCCAAAGATGAACTCCTTCATTGTTTCCCCAAGACCAATAGATGCCAATCAACAGGATACATATGCATTTTGGATGCAGGTTCTGCCCAGACAAGATTAAAAACCCAGCACGAACTGCAGGGAGTGCACAGTAATTGTTACTATGTAGGCAGCCTGAGAAACAGGAGGCGAGCTATTAATATGCTCAGGGGAACTCTTTTGAGGTTTTACAGAATGACTTTTTTTTTGCTAAAAGCAAACAAGCAAACCACCACCAACAATCTGGGCAAAAAACTCCAAAACCAGCCCAATGTGGACTAGACTTAATCAGTAGCCACAATATGTTGAATGCAGGGCATGGGAGAGATTCGGTTCAGTTTGCATTTATAGGCAAACCTACCTAATTTGCATTTTCTGAAACAATCTGTGCACTGAAGCGGCTGTCCTTTGAAATCTGCACTTCTCGGAGTTTGCAGTTCTCCAGCCCAGCGATGCGTACAAAAATGTATATGCCAGGGTAAAGTGTGCATAAAAATGTATATTGCAAAAAATGTATTATGTAAGGGAACTGCTTTAGAAAAAATGTCTTTGCTGGGCAAAATTGCATCCAGAGATGTGTGTATTAGGAGAAATTCACATTAAATTGCTGTCGATTTTCATGAAGGTGTAAATATAGAGAGCAGACCGATGTGGAACTGTGGAGAACTGACCTTAAAGAGTGGAAAAGTGAGAAACTGAAATTGCCAGATTCACCAGTTACTTGTTGAATGCCAATTGGAAAGAAAAATGGAAAAGCACCATGTGCAGTGTGTATGCAGCCTGGGGGCATGGGGGGCAGTCCACACAGCTCTAACCACTGACCACCCTTCAGCATTTGCCTCCTAAAGCAGTTGCTACACTCTGCCCCTCTTCTGGGGCCAGGTCTACCCACCAGTCACCATCCATAACTATGTCCCTGCCTGTCCCCTTGGTCCAATCTACACCACTGCCCAGGAGGAAAGGGCAAGGCAAGGTTGAGGCTCATCCTCCTTCTCTGTTCCCTCAGAGAGCAGCAGGAGCAGGACCAGAGGGCACTGGGAATTGACCATGAGGTCCTTCCTGTGTGGCAGACCTGACAATGCCCAGCAGCGATGCTGCCTCTGAATAAGCCAATGAAGACAAGACTTTAATAAGAGCCTTTAATTAGGGTGAAGCTGAAAGAATTTTTGTCAGGTGCAGCTTGTCAAACCAGAGTGGGAAAAGCTGGTACCTGGTGAAATTTCCTCTTCTGTGTGATGTGAACATTTAAAGGCACAAGAGGAGCCCAATTCTCCTTTGTCCCTCGCCTCCCTCCCTTTGTGCGTCTCCTCTACCTTTGGGCACCATCAGCTAAGTGCAATTGAGAGAGGCCCACTTAAGACAGCAATAGGAAAATCGCTTCCACCCACAAAGCAATTATTGAAAATGAGAGAGCTGAACTGCAGAGAGCTATTGAATATTGCGGCATTAAAGCACATAATGGACATCAGGAACTGTCGATAAACCCATTATTTAAACAAAGACTGTGGCTTGGCCCTCGGTATTTTTAGAACCTTAAATTAAGCTAATGAAATTGATTCTGTTTAAAACTCGGCGCAATAAACCTCACTTTTTATCTATGGAGGTAAAATAGTCAAGAAGGAAAAGAACCATGGAAAATTTGGAAGGAGCAGGTATGAGAGAAAGATGGTTTCAGTTATTGATTGTTGGTTCTCGTGATGCCCAGGTTGCTTCTGCAATCTCCAGTCCACGAATAATTTCAGTCCAGGGTTATCCATGTGTGATAAAGTTCTCCTCATGAGAATTGCCACCTCTATTATTAATAATATTAATATTATCAGCAGCAGCAAGCCTATGTGTCTCTTGGAGCTTTGACACAGGCATGAATCACATTTGTGTGGCAAGCTTCAAAAGTTAATTGCCACCTGTTGCTGCTATCAAATATAAAAAATCGTGCCCCTTTTCCTCATGGAAATGAAGGCAGTTGATAGGGAAACTGTAGCTCAGCCCAGATTGAGCAATGTGCAATTCCTCTGCCAGGGGATAATTTAATGTGCCTTTTAAGCAATGTAATGAGACTGGAGTTGTAATGGGGTATAAAAAAACAAATGGAACTGGCCAGTCTTATTTTCTTGTGGTCTTGCCTGTATTTTGAGGGGACCTGTGCTGATCCAAAACATTTTGCTACCTGGAGTAGAGCCCAAGTGCCCTTTCCCTCTGGAAAAAGAGGTACCAGAACTCAAAATGAACACTTCCCTCGTTCTCTTGGAATGGCAACCTGAGAGTTGTTGAAACTAAATTCTGGCGAGTTCCGGCTGGGGGGGAAAAAAGAGAAGCCCTGGTGCTACACAAATCATAGAATCATAGAACTGTAGAGTTGAAAGGGACCCTGAGGATCATCTAGTTCAATTCCCTCCAGTGCGGGAATATACAGCTGCCCATACAGGGATCAAAATTGCAATCATGGTGTTATCAGCACCATGCCCTAACCAACTGAGCTATCCAGGCTGAAGCATGTTGCTTCTCCCTGCTGCATGGCAGGGCTGGTCCTGGATTGGACCAGATTAAGGGGGGCATAAATTCTCTATTTAAATCTCTGTCCAGTTTAAAGAACAATAAGGGAAAGCAGTGGCCTTGTAGTTGTTCATCAACTGCAGATGAATAGAAGACTAGGTAGAAGCTAGTCAGACTAGACTAGGTAAAAGCCTATGCAGATGCTTAAATTTCCTCTAGCCTCTAAGGCCTGCAATTTCAAGAATCTTCTTTAAAAATGAATGCATTAATTGAAAAGGAAAGGTCAGGAGAACCAAATCCCTTCAGAACATTTGGATGTTATTTGAAATGTGTACAACAGACATTCCAAAAGCTTTTGTGCCTTTCGTAGTTTGTAGTCTACAAGTCCAAGAAGGTGCCAGAGTAAAAAATGTATTGTCACTCAAAAAAGTTGTATATGGTGATGGAGTACAGGCAGACTACAGGAAAACTGAATTAATTATTTGCATCAGTCTTCACTGCAAAGGTTGCACACACACAAATGCTTGACTACTTTTTTTCTGGAAGAATGTCTGAAGAAGTCAAATACAGGTAACAAAGAGATGAAGCAGCATGGTTAATGAAAAGAGTAAAAATTAGCAACTTGCTGGGTTTGGATGACACATAGCCAAGAATCCCATAAAAGTGTCAAATTTCCAACAAAACTATGTAAATTCCTTTCAGTCCTTTGGCAACACCATTTTTTTAAAGCATCTGGAGAGAAGCAGAGAAATGAAGCAGAAAAACCCATTATGCCTAACCTGCCTAAGCAAATTGGTAGATAGCACTATTAAAGCCAGAACTATTAAATATATAGGCAAAGAAGTATAGCTGAATAAAAATCTGTATATTTTCTGCAACGGGAAGGCGATGCAAGAATTCTTTAATAAGAGTACGTAAGTCACCTGGCACACGTTTTGAATGGGGTTCCAAGGTTGTTTTGGCAGTTGTAACGGTAGTTTTTATTACTTCCCTAGCAACCAGGTTAACAAAGAAGCTTGTGAGCACCTTAAAAACTTCGGCTAATATATTAATATTGTGGACATAAGATTTCAAAACACTTTTAGCTTTTTCTGGAAATACCATTATTAAAAAATTCGCCTTATTTCGTCTGCTGTTATAATTGTTTATCTTTATTTATTTTAGCTTATAATGTATACAAACTTTATCCTCCCCCAAAAAATCAACAAATTTATATAAGTACTATTATTAATAATAAAAGCAATAACCTGTATCACCTGCAAATCTGTTTCCTCTATAAAGCACCAATCAACGCTCAAGTCAAAAGAAAAAGTGAGATTCTAACACCCCACCCCCCAAATTACTCACGAGGCGAACGACGGAAACAGGGCTAGATCAACTTCCGCCCTTTTGTGGGCGAAATACAATACGCTTCCGCAGCTTCCGCTTCCGCCGCTGAGGTGTGTGTGCGGGGGCTAGAACTCAAAGGCGGTGTATGCTCCTCCCGCGCGCCGCGGTGATTGGGCGCCCCAAGTCTCGCGGCCCACTATTGGCTTACAGAACCTCGCGACGCCCGGAGCCCTTGTCAGTAGCGGGTGGGTAACCCCTCTCGCTCTCTTTTTTTCCTGGAGCGCAGCGGCAGGAGCACGGTGAGCGGCCTCGGGGAGCGTGGTGGGTAGGCCTGGGTCCTCTCGGGGAAGGGCTTTCGGCGCGCCCGAAGGCTGGCGGCCTAGTCTCCCGCCGCCCCTGGTCCGCCTGGCCTGGCGTCGCCCGTCCCACTGGGCCAAGAGCGTGTGGACGGGGATGCTCATCCAGGAGGCCGGGGGCGGGGAGCCGGCTTCCAATGTCTCATGAGGCGGAAGAGGAGAGACGGGGGCCTGGCTTGCGCTAAAAGCCCCGGGTTCTCGTTACCAAAGCCATAATAAAGTATACATTCCCCCCCCCCCCCAAATCGCCACGTCAACTTTAAAATGTGCTTTGGGCACAAGGCGAAGAAAATTTATGTATTATTGCGATAGCAATGTTCCGTTTTCCAAATTGCGCGTCAAGTTTAAAATGTGCTTTGCGTTATTCCCATGGGCACAAGGAAAAGAAACTTATTTCTGTCCTATACATATTTTTTACATTTCCCAAGCTTAGAACAGGCTAAAAGAAATACATGGTGAAATAGTGTGTATGGTTTCTTAGAATTCGTTCTCTGCTTTCAGTGGATCCTACTCCTAAGTAAAGTTTTGCACAGGACTGCAGCCGCCTTGTTTAATTCTCTGTATTTTTACTTGGAAGTAAAGCCTGCTGTTATAAAATTAGTTAAAAGGTTTTTGTTCCCCATTGATCCACAGCTATGGAAGAGATAGCAAAAATAAAAATGGGCCTGGGTTGGAGAAGATTTAAAAGGGGAGAATGTAATTGTTATTACTCTGATTCGTAAAAATGCTTCGTAAATGGCAAATGAGCCTTAAACCAGAATATACATTGGACAAGAAACCTGTAGGCATTTCAGAACTAGAAATGTTCTCCCTGCTGCAGCCTTCGTCCACTTTAAACAAAAATAAAATAAATAAAATAGGCATTATTGTTGATAGTAAAGTTGTCGTTGGGTTATATGGTGTGCTGCAGAGTAATATGCACAAAGCACCTTGGCCTAAATATGTATAAATACTTCAATAAGTATGAACCACCAACCATATTCTAAGCTGCAGCTCAGAATTTGATAGACGTGATACAAATGGAAAAGAATGTGAAGGAAATGCAAGTGTAGGAGCAAATGCAGATTGATGGGGTTTGATGGATATTGCCTTGATGCCCTATAGCTCTTGAATTCCTGACCTGTAGCAGAGGTCAGAAAATACTTCTCTTGCAGCTGTTCCTTCTCTGGCTGGTGGATGGGGCTAGGTTTGTTGTGATTTTTGCCATAATGTTCTTCCTGGGAGGCAGCCTTCCATTGGTCCTTGGGATGGTTACAGAGGTCAAAATGTGCCTCCTTTTAGCTCTGGTTAAACTTCCGAAAGGTGAGCACTTCAGGTAGGGTTCCCCCCCCCCCAACTCAAAAGCTTGCCATGACTTTGCTTGGTCTTAATATTGCCCAACTGGGTGTATTGGGAGTTCCCCCTGCTCCTGAACTGTCATTAATGCATACTTGTCTTTGCTGCTTCCCCCACCCCTCTCTTCTGTAGATGCCTGGAGTAACCGTAAAAGACGTGAACCAGCAGGAATTTGTGAGGGCCCTTGCAGCCTTCCTCAAAAAGTAAGTTGCCTGAAAAATGAATTGGCAGTTAAGAGCTAGTCCCATGGATTTGATAAGGGGATTAACTGCACTTGTTAGTTAAAAAGAAGGGAGCACAGTCTACCTGCCCTCTTCTGCTAATTGCTTTGTGTATGTATGTATGTCTTTACTGTGCTAAGAGTGCAACACTTAGCCAAACATAAGGAAATGCTTCCTTTGGTGTAGTGATGGATCATCTTATGGAGCAGTCTGTCTAGTAACATAATTTTAAAAGGGTGCTTAGGTGCAGCTAGTTGTGCCAGAATGAGGATTGCGAATAAGAACCCGAAGCCATTGAAAGCTTTGCAGTGTGGATAGATGGCATCTTGTGGACGGCTGGGGTTCCTGATTTCAGCAAATATCCCTTTAGGAACAGGACATTTGTTTTGAGCTTTATACATTCATGAGTCTTGGCAGACACAATGCTTGAAGTGTGTATTTGATAAGGGAGTCCCCCCCCCCAGTAAAACTAAACTTTAAAAAATAAACAGTGACTTGCCCATTTAATCAGTGATACCCTTTTATCTGATCAGGTTTGGTCAATCTAAATGTAGTCTTAAGCATGCCTTGTGGGATCTGTAAGAGGAAGTGCAGTTGTCTTTTTTTTTTTTAAATGATATTTATTGAAATTTTAAAATTACAGAGAATAAAAAGAGAAAGAGAAGAAGAAAAAGAAGGAAAGGGAAAAAAGAAAAAAATCAGAAAAAAATTAAGCAATACAAGTCAATAAAAAGAGAAAAAGAAAAATACAAAACACCCAATACATCAAAACCAACAACAAAAAAAGAAAAACAAAAATCCAATATTCCCAAATCTTTATCTTTCGTTAACTTGTTTCATCGACTTCCTCACACCTCCCTTTTTTGTATTCTAGTTATTAATTATCTCAGCAAATCCATTCCATCTTTCACTATATTCTATCATTAAATTACCTTAATTTATTTTAACCTTATCTTACCATAAAAAGCCCTAGAGCTTAAAACTTAAAGGTAAAGGTACCCCTGCCCATACGGGCCAGTCTTGCCAGACTCTAGGGTTGTGCGCCCATCTCACTCAAGTGGCCGGGAGCCAGCGCTGTCCGAAGACACTTCCGGGTCACGTGGCCAGCGTTACAAGCTGCATCTGGCGAGCCAGCGCAGCACACGGAACGCCGTTTACCTTCCCGCCAGTAAGCGGTCCCTATTTATCTACTTGCACCTGGGGGTGCTTTCGAACTGCTAGTTCGAAACATAGAAAAACCAATAATTAAAAATAGAATTAAACATTGATATAATTGAAACTATATACAACATATATAAAATCTGTTTAAAACATACCAGTAATTACAATAAAAGCAGCACAGCACCAGCCCACCCTTTCATTAAAAGCAGTTAATTCCCGAAGGACCGTTGGAATTGTTGACAGCAAGGAGGGAGCCAGCCTAGCTTCTCTAGGGAGGGAGTTCCAGAGTCAGAGCAGCCACTGAGAAGGCCTTCTCCTGCATCCCCACCAAGCATGCCTGAGATTGTGGCGGGACAGAAAGAAGAGCCTTCCCAAAAGATCTCAAAAGCCAGGCAGGTTCACATGAGGGAATACTGTCTTTCAGGTACTTTGGACATAAGCTATGTGGGGCTTTACAGGGGATAACCAGCACTTTGAATTGTGCCCAGAAACAGCCAGTGGAGTTGTTCCTAGTATAACCAGTCTCATAACCAGCCCCGGTCAACAATCTAGCTTCAGCTCTTAGAGCCAATGGACATTTCCGAGCACTTTTCAAAGGCAGCCCCATGGTAGAGTGTGTTACAGTAATCCAGATTACTGTAAACCCTGAAACCACACATTCTAATAGCTTACCCCAAAATAGGATATTGGAGGCTGGCCAATAATTATCCGGTAAAGTGGAATTCAGGGAGGACTTTTTCAATAGGGTCACTATAACCACTGCCTTCAGCCAGTCTGCTTTTGGCCCTTTTGATGAGCCAGATAGGGCAAAGATCTAGCACACATGTGGTAGCTCTCACATTTCCAGGCTTATATAACTTGAAAAGTATCCATTAACACTGGACTCGTATCAGTTGTACAGAGAATGCCGGTGGGCAACTTCAGCTAATCAAGTCTCTTAATTCAAGCCTAATGAGCATTCTTTTACAGGATCAAGTCCTGGGTAGCGGTTGTATCCCATTCACCGACCTGGCAGCATGTAATGGAACATCGATTAATTAGCTTTTATTTTTATATGGTTATGTTTGTAGGAAGACGTTTTAGGGTCAGAACAGTCCTTTGAGGATTTGACTAAGGAATAGTGACTCTGCTGGTTTCATAAGTGGTGGTTTCAAATACAAAAGCTATTGGCGCTGCCTTAGAAGAGGCCTTTCTCCTTTATTCACAACAGGAGAGAGTTCCTCCTTTGATTCAGGTGCGGGGAACATCCATAGCTCAGTGGTAGAGCATCTGTCTTGCATACAGAAGGTCCCTGGTTTAGAACAGTTCTTTCTCTCTCTCTCTCTCTCTCTCTCTCTCTCTCTCTTTCATTCATTCATTCTTTCAGAGGTATGTTTTTGTTTTTTAAGTTGCCCCACTCTTCAGCCAAAAGGGACTCTTAAAGTGGTTTTCACATCAGTAAAAACAAGACAGGACCCTGCCCTTAGGCTTACGAAAAAGACATGACACAAAAGGAAAGTTAATTGGGAGGGAGTGGGAAATATGCAAACTTAGGTACCAGTTATTTGTTACAAGGTCTACTAATAAGCAGCTGGGATTGAAACCAAAAGAAGCCAGAAAGTTGCTGGGCTGCTTGCTTGCATTGTTGGAGTGTCTCTCTCCCTTCTCTGCCACAGGTGGCAGGTGACGAGGGAGGAGGGACTGGACACCCCTCATCTCTTTTTGCCTCCCATTTGCTGCAGCTTGATGGAATTGCCCCAGTCAAGTGAAGTCTTAAGGCTGGAAGCTGTTCATGCAGAACATGTGAGGATCTAGCAAATGATAGTTCAGTGAGGCATGGGTTTGAGCACTTGTCTTCTGGTGACAAGCCCTTTGGGCAAAAGTGATAGCTTGGCTGAAATAAAATTACTGCTGCTTATTTGTATGGTGATAACTGGTGTTTGAATTGTTCTTGCAGGTCAGGTAAACTGAAAGTACCTGAATGGGTGGACACAGTCAAGCTAGCCAAGCACAAGGAACTAGCTCCATATGATGAGAACTGGTTCTACACCAGAGCTGGTAAGGAACTGGGCAGATATAGTAACATGCGAATATGGTGCAACGTCTTACTTTTTAAGAACACAGTTCATAATTGTTTTTAACAATCCATGATTGTCTGCATAAGTGTTGCGTTGCATATTGCATCAGAGGGACCAAGATAGATCCTGCCACTCAGATCTATTAAGAGCACCACTTTTGGAATGAGAATGTTGTAGGATAAGTGCAGTGCATTAACTCACTGGTTTGGCACCTGACAACTTCATGAAAATGAGATGCAAATTACGTTGATTATATACAGCTAATGGTAATGCTTGCCATTTATACAGCAAAATGTAAGTGCTTGAAGCAGTTCACGTACATTATTAGCAGCAGCATCAATGCACATGGTACTTTATAGGCATTTTATAAGTGAAAATGGGTCACTGCCTCCAAGGAGCCTACAATAAGAGGGAAAACATGGAGAGTTGGGGAGTGAGACATGTAGGACAAAGAGTGGATATGAGCAGATACAGTTAACATGTGTAGCTTAGTGTCATTATTCCTCATTATTCCAATAATCCTTAAAATTCCTCATGCCTCTTTATCCAGCATAGTTGAAAATGCTTGAGTTTGGTGTGCAGTTAGGGGGAGGTTGGAGATGACAACTTCTTGGGGGATAGCTAGTGTTCTGCTCTAGGAAATGAGCCCTCTCGGCAGCATAAAAGAAAACCATTTACTATTTTCATTGAAATGGCGAGTGTGTCTTCCCTGATGTAGACCATGAAATAGTTAACTGTGTGCTTGTGATTGTGCATTATTAGCTCCCCTGTGCCAGCCACGCCTACTTAGATAGATGACACATTGGATAGACATTATGCAGCATTCACATGTTTCATTAAGAGCAAGTTACTGGGGTTCTAAAGACATGAATCAGTTGCTTGCTTTTACTTCTTTTTCCAGCTTACTAGAGGTCTTGCCACCTCACCGCACCCAATCTCTGTCAGTGCTGGGTGCTGAGGCAGTGCGATTTTTCACAGGCTCAAGTCATGTGCCTTTTGATTTGCTTGCCCATAGAAGGAGGAAGACACAAACAAGTGTTGGTAGCCGGCCAAGCAATCTGTCTTGGTTTTCTTCCCGCTGCCCCCCAAGGCCCAAGATAGTTTTGTTCCTGACTTTAGGCAGCTCCTAGCAACAGTTGGAGAGCTTTAGAGTTGCTCTTTGTGGAGATCTTGCACTGTTCATTCACATGTCGCTAGAATGCCTTCTCAAATGCACACATCTGTTTGTATTCATGGTAAATAACGCAAACCAATTATCTGTCTTTTCATGTCTCGCTTTCTAAATGCCCCTCCACTGTGGCGATGATTTACAGGGAAGCTCTAAAGTCCAATGTGCTTTTCTCTCGCAGCACTACCGCAGTGATGTCTATTAAGTGCCGTATTCCCAGATGTTGTCTTGCTGCTGTAACTGTATTAGCAAAATGAAGGCTTGAGAGGTTGCCTTGCGGCAATATGGCCTTAGGCTGTGTCTGTTTTTGTCTGCTTGAACGGTGGCCTCAAAGGACAAAGCAGGTGGCTCTGTACAAAAGCAGCCGTGGCGGTGAAAAGTGCTCTGCCCTCCGTGCTACTTTCTGCACTACCCTGTAGTCCTGTTCTAGGTCTAAATTGGGGTTTTTACACCATTTCTTGTTCTCAAGTGATATTAACAGTATGGTGCTCTGTTGTTTCTCTGGAGTTGCCACACTGTGTTTGGCTAAGGTTCCTCCAGCTAGATGATCTTAGGCTGACAACAATTGTGCTCATTAACAGTTCGCATGCTACAGTTGGCTACTTTTGTGTGGTTGGTTCCTTCTTTAACGGGAGTAACGCATTCAAGCGTGCAGCCAACTTAGTGTGAGCTCGGAGACTTTGGCTTCTCATTCTGGAAATATTGCCCGGCTGGAATTGGGAGTTCTCGGCTCGAATATCACACTGCTCAAATGAGTAAACCAGCCTTCTTCAGATCAGTGCACTCCAGATACTTGGAGCAATAAACCTGTTTCAGCTCCAGCCAGAACAGCTGATGGTTAGGAGTGTTGGAAGACGTTCTCTGAGACATCTGAAAGGCACCAGGTTTGAGAAGCGTGGAGTACCCTATTCCTGTGAGTAAAAACACGAGCGGTGTGCAAGGCAACCTTTTGAACCAGGAGGGTTTTGATAATGGGTCAGTCAGTGTATAGAAAACTTACTTTGCGGCTGTATCTGGTGTAGGAAGACAAAGCCAAAATGTTTTGATTGAAATAAACAGGAAGAAGAGTCAGGAAGTGATGTGTTGTTTGTGTTTTGGTTTGTTTGCAGCATCCACAGCTCGCCATCTGTATCTCCGTGGTGGTGCTGGAGTTGGCTCCATGACCAAGATCTACGGGGGCCGCCAGCGCAATGGCGTAATGCCCAGCCACTTCAGCAGAGGCTCCAAGAGCGTTGCAAGGAGGGTGCTGCAGGCTTTAGAAGGGCTCAAAATGGTGGAGAAAGACCAAGATGGGTGAGTCTCGGTACCGAAAGGACGCAGAGAGCTTGTGCGACTCAGTACCTCAAGAATTACACTTGTAAGGGAGAAAACTGCTGCAGGGTATCATGGCCGCCTGCCCCACTTGCAAAAACTTCAGGTTGTGGTCAATACATTTTTACTTGGAGTAGGATCTCTGAAATCAACAAGCCTAACCAGTGTCCATTGACTTCAGTGGGTCTACTTGAGTAGAATTGCATATAACCCATAACGTGCCACAGCTGACAACATACAGAGGTCCGTTCATCAGAACTTGCTTAAATTACTCATGATGGCTGCATAGAGCCTTCATGTTCAGAGGCAGTGTTATCACCCAGTATTAGTTGCTTGGGAAAACAGCAGAAGGTGGCCATGACCTTTGGTGCCCTATGATTTGGCCACCAGGAAGCCTCTGACTAACCATGGATCAGAATTGCTGGACTAGGTGCACCCTTGTTTTCATCAAGGAGAAGCCTTATGTTCACTAAAGGTTCCATCCATCCATACTTTCATGTGTGGATTAGTTATGTCCTGCATTGCCTAGTTTGGGGTGACGCTCTGAGCAAAATGTGTGTTGTCATACCTATTAGAAGAGCTGAAGCCTAGTATATTTATGTGGGGCATTTAGGGCTATGGGGTGAGGTTGTACACATTCCTTGAAAAAGATGATCAATCTGCTGGGTGATGGTGAGTAGGGCAGAGAATGGCCCACAGTAGCGACAGAATTGCCTTTTTAAAAGTGCTGATACTGGTCATTGCTTTCTTTCAGAGGTCGCAAACTTACTCCTCAGGGGCAACGAGATCTGGACAGGATTGCAGGACAGGTAACCTTTTTTTCACATGAATCATTTCTACAAGAGTAGCCGTGTTAGTCTGTTGCAGCAACACCAAGGAAAAGCCTTGTGGCACCATAAAGCATTCTTGTAAATAGCTCCCTGCCTGCAAGCCGTTAGAATTCTATTCAGGGAACCAACCTGGACATTTTTTTAAAGTCCCACCCCCCTTTTCAAGGTACAGAAAAATAACCTGTTCAACGTGGGCAGGCTACATTGTGTAAAAATTTGCAGATCACTTAATTTTGTAGAGTACTTTTGCAAAGGTGCCTGTTGCATAAGTTTTATTTAAAATATTTTAGGGTTGCTTTTTGGCATATGCCTTTCCAATGTGGTTTTACAGTCAGACAATTAAGGAAAAGGAAAACAACAATACAAATTTTTAAATTCTGCTGTTGTTTAGGAAATCACATTCTGAAATAAATGCAAGAGGCTTTAAGATACTAGAAGCATCTTCTGTTTCTGCCACAAAAAACTGTTCTCGGTTGCAGGGTAGGAGAAGGAATGCTGGAAATGAATCATAATTTTCCCCCCAGTTGCTTTGGCTTGAAAGTGTTCCTATTACTTAAAGAATTGCACTATCTTACTTGAAATGCTTCACAACGAAAGAAAAATTGAACAGAGAGTGAGTGAGTTAGGATCAACAACTTTCGAGATTATTTCAGCAAAAGTTCTGCTGTGGCATAAAGCGAATCCCTAGCAGCCTGCCTCTCTTCAAAACTCATTAGAAAGAGCTGTGTTGTGTAGATCTCCGCAGCTTTAGATTTGTTCCTTAAAAATTTACTTGATAATCTCTCCCCAATAAAACTCTTTTTAACAGCCCCAGTGCCATCAGATAAAGTGCCTGAATGATGTTGCATTAACTAGCTCTCTGTTGACATTTACAATGTATTGTGGATGAATTATTCCTCGCAAACGGTTGCCTTTACAAATACATAGAAGTTATTAAGTGCAGCATGTCCAAGCAAGTACCAGAATGAAAAATCACACAGAGTTGATAGATTTCTCTCATTTCTAGCGGTTGAGCTAGACTGTGAATCTTGAGTATCTTGAAATTTTCCCTTATCGGTTCTTTCAAAACTACAGCGCTCCATATAAAAAAGAGCACACTGAAGGAACTCCAGTTCAGCTGCTAGTTAGCCGAGTTCAGTTGGTGAAAGAATTTATCGTTATATAATTCTGAAGGGGCAAGCCTTGCGTTCTGTAAGGAGGCATGGATTTCTCATCCAGAGGCTGTGGGTGATGTAGACCAAAATGCGTATGTAGAACCCAGCTCCTCCTAGGCTGTTTTATGTGCCATCTATATAAACTGTCAGTGTTCAGGCCAATGGATCATGCCTTTCTTCATAGAGATGGAAGTGGCCCCAGGGATCAGCAGCTTTTCCACCTTGGTGTTTTCCAAATGTTTTGGAGTATAACTCCATCATCCCTGCCATTGACAGTGCTGGTTGTGGCTGATGGGAGTTGTAGTCCAAAACATGTGCAGAAAGTTGGACTAAATGTAAGTCCTTCATGGTTCTCCCCACCCCCCAAATACAGACCTTTTTCTTCTCTTCTTTTCTAGGTGGCAGCTGCAAACAAGAAACATTAAAGTGAATTGCAGTTCAGAAATAAAGTCCTTTATTTACTGATGTTGCGTGTGTTTTTCTGAAGGCTTCACTTCTCCCACCTTACTTCCTGCGCACCCTCCGGTCTTTTTTGTAGTATCTGAATCTTGACCACATAAACTGCCTACCATTTCATAACATAAACCACCATTTCAAACCTTTCTTCGAAACAATGAGGACTAAAATCTTCAGGACGAAAACGTCATGCCAGCTGCAAATATCCCCGCTTACATGGGCAGCTGCAGCTATATGTAAAAAATTTATATGCAAGTGTGGATATAATTACTGCCTTTAAAAAAACCACTGCCTCCCTGAGAAATACTCTGTGCTCAAGCACAGTTCATTCAGATTAGGGATGCAGTCTTTAATTGCTAGATTAATAAACTAAAGCTCTTGCTGTTGTGGGTCAATTTTAATTGGAGAGAGCAAACTTTAATTTGTTAGAGCTGCTAGTAAGGGCACACTCTTCTTTTATTTTTTTTTAGCTATTTTGGTTCCAAGGTGGAAAAAATATTAAAAGATGGCCTTTCTGAAAGTTCTTATACATATCCTTCAATAGTGAGGTTTTGGTGATTTGAAAATAAAAATTTAATTGGTTAGAAAGCAGAAGATTCTGTAATCAGTTCACAACCCTCTGATTTGCGTCTTGTGTATTCCATATGGAAAACTTATGCTTGTTTGATGAAAACAGTTGCCAAATTTTATTAAAGTGGGTACCTTTTCCCTGCCTTTCCAGTGCAATTTTTTATTGGATTAAACCCCTCATCAGAAAATGAATTCTCTTTTGCCACTGTTCTTACACTCGCTGCTGACAACTCGCTTTTAGGTCTTGACTGACCGTTTGACATTCTGGTAGGTGTTGGAACTGAGATGTTAATTTTAGCTTGTGATGCCCTTGCCCCAGACTTCCCTGATGGCAAACTGCTTAAATGTGAGAAATTGACTCAATGAGAGCTATAGGCAACACAACTATTCTGTGGTCTGGTGTTAATTTGGAGAATATGGCGGTTGGATATGAACTTGATTTGAAATAAAAACTTAACTGGGAGAGTGGTGTGTTTCTCTCTTTACCTCTGCTTCCTGGTCTTTACATTCCCGCTGCAATTCTGGGGTGGATAAGAAGAGCCAGCTGGATCAGGCAAGTGGCCCATCTAGTTTGACAACTCTAACAGTTGCCTTTGGGAAATCAGCAAGCAGGATTCGAGCAGGAGCGCTCCTGCAGTTTCCAGTAACTTGTTCAGAAGCGTTACTTTCTCCACCTAGAGACAGCATAACCATCATAGTTAGTACCCATTGATAGCTTCCATGAATTTGTCCAGCCCTCTCTTAAAGCCATCCAATTTGGTGACCATCACTGCCTCCTGTGGGAGCACGTTCCAGAATTTAACTGTTGCATAAATAAAATACTTTTACCTGTTTCAACATTCCATCTTTATTTTTTTATGCAGCCCTCAAATCTGTTCGTTTTTAAAAAAATAAAACAACACTTAGAGACTGCATGAGTTGTGGGTTAGCCCCAAGGGCTTTTTCCTCCCTGAAGTTTATGAATGATTTAAAACATGGGAATTTGGAATAAAACTGCCACCTCAGCCTTAACTGTGACTTTGACGGTGGCGCTGAAGCCCAAGAGTGTTTCTCTGCAGCTTGATGCTAATGTACACTTCTGGAATGCCTCTCAGGAGCTCAGCACTTTACAAACTCAATTAAGAATTTGCGCCACTCCTGGGAAAATGGGGGGTATCTCAAGCTGCTGTGCAGTAGAGATGAGGACATTTGGCATAATCTGATAGTGTACACAAAACTTGCCTGTGTAAGCCATTGTATCTCGGTGAATCAACACACCAGGAAAACACAAACTTTAAATCTGTTTTTATTGCGCTGCCAACTCCCACCTCCAAATTGGAGCTGTATTTACAGCACCTGCCTCACTGATGATGTTCAGATGATATCTAGTGGCATCCAGTGCAGGTTTCTTCCTAACATTTAAACCTTGTCTTCAAGAGACTTTCGATGAGAGCAGATAGACAAAACTGCTAGCTCAGTTGGTACAGCATGAGACTCAATCTCAGGGTTGTGAGTTTGAGCCCCACTCTGGAGGGATGTGGGTGGTGCCACAGTTCCTCTGTGGTTAAACCACAGAGCCCAGGACTTGCTGATCAGAAGGTCGGCAGTTTGAATACCCACGACGGGAGCGTTGCTCGGTCCCAGCTCCTGCCAACCTAGCAGTTTGAAAGCACGTCAAAGTGCAAGTAGATAAATAGGTACCGCTCTGGTGGGAAGGTAAACAGCATTTCTGTGCGCTGTTCTGGTTCGCCAGAAGCGGCTTAGTCATGCTGGCCACATGACTCGGAAACTCTACACTGCCTCCCTTGGCCAATAAAGCGAGAGGAGCGTCGCAACCCCAGAGTCGGTCACGACTGGACCTAATGGTCAGGGGTCCCTTTACCTGCATTGCAGATTCCTGCGTTGCAGGGGGTTGAACTAGATGATCCTCGTGGTCCCTTCCAGCTCTAGAATTCTGTGATTCTACTTTGAGATTGCTGTACCAAAGGAGAGCAGACGTTGGCTCTGCCATTAGCCTGTTGACACAAATTCTACTGGATTGTGTGTGTTTGTGTGCGGTTAATCCATTGCTGAAATTACCTCCAGTGTTGGAAGAAATAAGCCTCTGAATACCAGTTTTTGGGAATCTCGAGCGGGGAGAGTGCTCTTGTGCTCAGGTCTTGCTTTTGACCTTTCTATAGGCATCTGGACGCCCCCTGTGAAAACAGGATACTCGGCTAGATGGGCTGTTGGCCTGATCTAGCCTTCTTAGGTTCTTCTTAAATTTGCTGTGACATAAACTCTCATAGAGCCTACTTCATTGAATGTTGCAGGTTGACAGGTGTGTGAGTGTGTGTAAAACGCACGTGTGGGTATAGAGAAACTGTTGTGAAGTGTGGGGACAAAAGGTTGTCAAAGGCAAGTTCTTGAATTTCACGGTCTCTTGGTCTGGTTTAATTCCCCTCCCTTCTACGTTTCTGCCTGTCTATTCGAAATAATTCAAGCATCAGACAAAACGAGTGCTAACCCACAAAAGCTCGTGTGTAGCAGGGCAATGCTATATGTTGGCTGAGAAACGAGCCCCGTTAGTTTATAGAATTGCAGTCATGGGTAAGTTTATAGAATTGCAGTCTTAGTTTTAAAGGGCTGTGTGTTTGTTGTCTTGAATAGGGGACACGTGCCGGGATTGCCAACTCTTCCACTGTCCTTGCTTCTCTGCCTTTCAAAAGCCTGTAATGCAGGAATGAAACAGGTGAAACCTATCTAGTCTTTACTGGGGCGAAAAGCTCCACAGAAGAGGCAGGGGCTTAGACACGCCTGATCAGGCCCATGGGGTGCTTACCGATTAATATGTGCCTGGAGGTAGCATGAGTGGAATAAGAAAGTGGCAGCGTAAGCTATAATTCTGCATAAATGCAAATTAAATAATAGATATCTAGGCTACCTTAATAGCCTCTAGAGTGCAAGAACCATATGCCACAGGGCTGACGTTAGATGTTGGTGGCATAGGCCTCTATTCCCGTCGGGCTGTTTTCCTGCTATACTTTTCTCCTTTCTGCACGTAATTCAGTCTGCTGCTGATTTTTCTTCTCATTTCTCTTCCAAGCCAGGCCACTGAGGTTTTCCTATGGGCGGAGGGCAGTGTTGGGAAACGGCTGCTTCGGTCCCCCTTGGCAAAAAAAGGGCACACTATGTCAAAGGGGCAGAACAGCCTGTTCTCCCTTTGGCACCAGTGTAGCTTTTGCAGTAAAAAGCGTCTTGGAAATCCTGTCAGAGGAGGAGGAAGGAGGCGTTCTGGGGGTGTTAGGAGGAGTTTGTCATTTGTTGCTGTCAAGGACTGCCAAAGGTAGATGTTGATCCCTGACATAAGCTAATGAGTTGAGCTCCTGGGGAGCCAGAGTTTAGGCACCCCCTGGTTTAAAGGCGTCTCTCGTCAATGCAGGTTGGGATCCATGAAAAATTGGCTCTCAGTGGCCAGGACAAGACTTGCCTGTTAAACGCTGAGCGGGAAAGTGTGGCGATGTTTGTGCAGGGGACTGAGCGGAAATCGTGTGGAACGGGTTTTTAATATGCTGCAGTCTCTCTCCAGCCGTCTTTTGAGAGGCCCTTCTGGAAATAATTAGAGCTGCTAAGAATTGTTAATTCAATATACGTAACAGCGGGGGCCTGATGGGCCTCCCCCCACCCCACCTGTCGCTCCTTTGCCACCCATAAAGAGGCATTAAAATGGGGGAGATTTACAGCCTTCAGCGGAGAGGAGCGTTGCAAATTTTTAAATGGCGCCTTCGACAAGCGACAGGCAACGAAGTAATGCGTTTCTGATAGTGCCGCTGATCTGGAAGCGGGATTTGAAAGGGACGCAGCAGCTGTTGTTTACAGCTGCTCAGCTTGAGTGGAGGGGGCTGAGATTTATCACTTGGGGAAGCAAAATAGTTTGGAGGGGGCCTGATGCCTTCAGTCAGTCATTTTTGGATGTTTCCTTTTAATGGCACCCTATAGCTCTGGGATGGGCCCTCGTTTGCCAGAGCAGAGAGCTCTTGCTCCCCACCCCAGCTGAAATCATTATTAAAGCTGGAGATAAGGGAGAGGAGGGAATATATCTTCATCAACAAGGCAGGGTTATGATTCATCCTAGAGTTGGAGCCAACATCAGCACACGGCCCGGCGTGATTGAGTAAACAACTCTGATGATGTTTCCAGCATCATTACAATTTCATTGGGATTAGTTTGGTTTAAATATCAGTGTACTGAGGATGGGGGCGCATTTCAAATGAGTGGATATTCATGCCGACAGGCACCCATTCAAAATCCAAAGCAGTTCCTTGGAATTTGCATCTTGAAGAGATTCTAACGTTTGCCTTTGTCGAAATTTGGGAGGCTGCTACCGACGGGGGGCAAACGGCACGTCCTCCTCAACTGGAGTACGGCTTTCAAAACTGAATATCCCTCACCTCAGCCACAACACTTGTTTTCTGAATTTGATTTCCCCCCTCTTTTGTTCAAAGCCAAAATTAGCAATTCTCTAACTTAAACATTTCAGATTTCAGATGTCGTTGACATTTAATTAAGAGCGAGTGTGACACATGTAGGGTTGGTACAAGCTGAGCTCTGGAAGGGATGGTGGATATTGGAGAAGACTTTCTCCTTGAGCTGGTGTGGGGCCTGGCATTATCCACAAGGTGGCACTCAAGTGAATGCATTTCAGGCTAATTTCCTAGGCAAGGGAGATGTTGTGATAGGGCCTTTTCTTTTCTCTTTTAAAGGGCAATAGATTTAAGGAGGGAAGCCTCACTGAGGGGTGTTTGGTAGCCTCCACCCAAACAGAGGAAACTGTGTCATTCAGGAGCTTGAGGCTTAGCTGAGGCAAAAAAGTCTCCAGAGCATTGCTGGAGGCTCTGCTGAGGGAAAAGGTGCGAGATGTTGTAGCTGTAGGCCTTTCTGCTCCCATTCTAAGACACCACCTGCCGCCTGAAGCCACATTCAGGTAAAAGGACGGTGAAATTTTGACATTTTAAGCGCCATTAGGCCTAGCTATGGGGAAAGGCCTGAGGGGGACACCA